GGGGGCCGCTTCGCTCTTACCTTTGCTCCACGCAGTTCTCTCTCTGGCACAGCCTGCCCCACGCTCTGCGAGCACCCTGCAATGCCGGACGGTCGGGGTTCAGACTGCGGTGGAGACGCAGTCCGGGCGTGTTGCGGCCCCAGGCACCAACCAGCACAGCCGGGCGAGCGATGGTTGCAGGGCTGGGGGGCTCAGCAGCATCCCCCGCAGCCCAGCCCCAAATCTAATTAATGCTCAATGGGCACTTGTCCTAATTAAGCCATTCCGTGATTCCTGCCAGTGTGAACACCCACGTGGGGATGCAGTGCCCCTCACCCTTCAGCCAAGATGAACTTCAGCCAACTGGGAAGGGGCTCAGGGCTGTCCCTGCGGTCCCCAGGCCAGGCTGTGAATCCCAGGGCCCCATGAGGCAGCGGTGCCAGCTGACCCTTGGCCGGGGAAGGCGGACGGTGCAGCCGGCCAAATCCCATCCTGAGCAACTTCCACGCGGCTGCTGCCGCCGAGTCAGCACAATCCTGCTCCTGCTTTGCAGGCAGGGAAAGCACCGTGCCCAGCCCCTCCGGCCGGCCCACCCAACACCCTCCGCAGCGGGATGCGGTGACGCTGGGGTGTCCCCCAGCACCCCGGTCCTGCCAGCACCATGTGGGGCCAGCATCGTGTGAGGCGTGGCAGGGAGCCAGCCCAGGTGCAGGATCTGACCTGCTGCTGTGGGTTTCTTGCTGAAGAGCCAAGGGGTCTGGCAGCCCCATGACCAGGATTCGGCTCCCTGATCCTGCCCACACCCGTTGGGCTGCCTGCGCAGGCAGGACAGGCAGCACCAGGCTTGTGCAAGAGCATTTCCCTACCCGAAGGTTGACGTGGGCGTGCTGGGGAGGCTCAGCCCTTCCCTTCCTCACCAGGGCATTTACGGGAAGGCAGCTGAAGTTCCCGAAAGGGTGCAGCCCAAGAATGACACTGCACCTGCAGCTCCTTGCTGGGCAAATTCCCTCCTTTTCCCCCAAAACCCATCCCAACGGCATCACTGTCACAGCTGCCAGCCCGCTACCCGAAGGTTGACGTGGGCGTGCTGGGGAGGCTCAGCCCTTCCCTTCCTCACCAGGGCATTTACGGGAAGGCAGCTGAAGTTCCCGAAAGGGTGCAGCCCAAGAATGACACTGCACCTGCAGCTCCTTGCTGGGCAAATTCCCTCCTTTTCCCCCAAAACCCATCCCAACGGCATCACTGTCACAGCTGCCAGCCCGACTAAGCACCTCTGAGACCAGGCATGCTCGCTTCACGAGTGGCCTGGCAGCAGGTGAGGGGAAACACCTCCAACTCTTTCCTGCTCAGAGGTGTCGTGATGCCCAGGCAGTGCCTGAGGGGCTCAGGGCACCTTGCCCTGGGGATGCATCCTGCATCCCAAGGAAGGGTGCGGGGCCACCCGTGTTTCCAGCTCCGGAAACGGGGCTCATGCCAAGCCCACCTGCCCAGGAAGGGAGAGCCCAGAAGTTTTGGCGTTAATAAACCAGAGCAAACAAAGCTCTGCAAAGGAGAGCTCAGCGGGACTTTCTCAGCCCTGATTATTATTCTGGAGCAATTTCCGTGTGAGTTGGGGCAGGGTTTTTGCCACAGCAACTCTGGCCACTGTGCTCCATGGGAACACTGCATTTTTGGTTTTTAAAACCAAG